TGTATCTTATACCAGATTTATGGCAGCATAAATTGTTTATGGCATTGCAATTCACAAATCATGACTTAAAAAAAAAATACTGTGGAGGTTGTGGCCATGGGGTTCTTTGCCTAGTTTTGGCCTTTGCAAAAGCTGAGACTGTATCTGGAAGAGAAGGCCTTGGCATCAGTAACTCATCCCCTCATCCCCTCTGGAGTAAATTACTTCAATGAGCTGTACGTGAGGTTGCCTTTGAAAACTACCCAGAAGCTGCAATTGACAGCCCGCCTCCTGGCAGAGGAAAACCACTTCAGCCCCAAAACACCCATTTTTGCAGGCACTGCACTGACTTCCAGTAAGTTTCCAAGTGCTTGGTTCCCTGTATCTTCAAGACCATCTGTTTCAAGTGAAACCAACTTATCTGGTCTGTTCACCCACAGCAGGGATGTAAGTTTGGGGAGGGTGGGAGAGAAGACAATGTTTGTCAATTATGACTCCATTCTTCTGGAACAGTTTGCCTGCAGAAATCTAGATATGATACTTCTCCAATGGTGTTCAGAAAAGTGGCTAAAGACAGAAGTGTCAAGGAGGTTTCAATCATGAAAATTTTTGGATTTTTATTTGGATAATAGAAGCTACATTGGATTGACAGTTCTGGTGGTTTTATTAACATTATGTACTTACAGGTAGTCCTCCCTTAATGACCACAATAGGGATTGGGAAATTGGTTGTTAAGCAGGATGGTTGTTAAGTGAGTCACCATGTGACTGGATCCAATCTTACAACTATTTTTACTATGGTGGTTAAGTGAATCACCACAGTCATTAAGCGAATTCAGCTTCCCCAGTGGACTTTTTTGCCGGAAGTCGCTTAACGATTGCGGTGATTCATTTAATGACCATCATAAAAAAGATAGCAAATTGTGATCACATGACCACAGGGGGTGGTGTGATGGTTTGCGACAGTTGTAAGAGTGACTACAGGTCATAAGGCACTTTTTCCGAGGCCGTTATAACTTCAAATGGTCATTAAATGAACAGTCATTAAGTGAGGACTACCTGTATTTGATAAGATTTTATTTTGTACTTTGTAAAATGCTGGAAGTTTTGGAATCTGGCAGCACAGAAAAAGTACAAATAAAAAATTTTTTTAATCTTATTTTAAGATGTATAGAGCCATCTAACTCACAAAAATGCAACTCTGGGCAGAAATAAAAACACAAATACAATAGAAATGGCCTAAAATCCACAACAACAACCAAATACAGAGGTAGGGTATACCACCACAGACCATTCCTGGCAGCTATGGGAGCTGCTATGCTGTTTCAGGAGGTTGCTACCCACCAAAAAAACAGATGAATTCCACCACTGGAATCAGTTCTTACTGAACTGGATTGTGTATAATGCTAAAAAGCTTTCTTTCCTACAGAAAAAAATCAAATTGATGCCAAGCAAGCTGTAGCCACATCCATCCTTAATATTAGGAGCCTCTGCTTCTCCTTAGAAAATTCCTGTTCCTCCATTCTGTCATAGTTAGAAGGGAGTTCTCAGTGATTAAGAGACAAAAGGAACCTCTGGTTGGAAAGTTACTGTTTCCCCTTAGAACCACTGTGGTCCTTGTTTATCTTGGCCGTTTTTCTAAGAAAAGTGTTCCCTGGGGAAGGATTTCTGGGACAGGAGGACCAAGACCAGAGGAGAGCTTGAAATAACTCAAGTCAGAGAAGAATTACGAAGGCTTTTGTGCTACCTCTTGTTATGCTAGGAAGCCCAGCCCTTGGAGCAATGATTGTTCCTACATTTCACCTTCTGCTTCTTGGGGAGAGGGAGATTTGGATTGGTTTGGTTGGTTTACCCTGCATAAAATAGTCCTGGCCCCCAATGTCTCATGGGAAATAACACCCTTCATCCATTTTCAAAATCAAATTTCCTCTATGGGAACATTAGGCTTGAGGTAGCTCTTGCCTCCATCTGGTACCTTTTCAGGTTTTGCATATTTGGACGCTTGCATCTTAACTATTGGTGCCCTGGAGATGTGGGTGTCTCTTCCATGTTGCTGTCTTTGTTACACAATGAGATCTCGCATTCTGATTTGAGAAGGGAGGAAGTAGAACTACAAATATAAGTTTTAGGTTTTTATTGGGTCCTAGGCTTGGCTAAATCTTTTGTCGACATTGGGAGGAAGACTAGGCTGGATCCAGGATGTTTCCTGCATAGCAGTAGAGTGGTACCACTCATTCATGGCTTGAATACAGTACTTCCTGGGCTTCTGCTCTGGCCTCAGCCAAATGGGTGCTAGGAAGGGGCCCATCCTGTTTAGACATGGGAGTGTTCCAGGAAGGAAATGCTACTCCGGAAAGAAGTTATGTAACATTGGCTCTTATGACTTCCAGCTGGACCCCCCCCCCCCCACTATGCCTGGGAGAGAGGACACATTTGTCCCCCTGGAGAGGTAAATCTAAAGTGTAGCTGCAGGAACAGGAGGATCCATTCCAAAGTTAGGAATGCCCTCTGGAAATCTCAGTAAAAGTACAGTTTCTCCCCCGGAATTACTTTACAGTATTTGTTTAGCAAGAATCTTTATCAAATTTCATCTTGTTTTAAATATTTTAAAATGTCCTCTGTTTCTTTATTATTTTGCCTCTGAAATATTCTGTTGCTTTATTTTAGATCACTAACTTGTGTGGTTTACTTTTATTATTGTGAATTGGGCATCTCATAGTTACATACATAATAAAAGTAACAAAACTCTAAAATAATATTCAGCAATCTCTGAATATTCAGTGATGCTTCTAGACAAGGATAGTTTAACAGTGCCCAGTCATGGTTGTTTGTGTTTCACTGCATGTGGAAGACTGCAACTGTCCTTCCAGGTTTTTTTAAAAATCCAAATAACATTCTGTAGTCAATTGGACAGTCTTACTTCCTGCAATCCTAAATGTTGGCAGAAAGATGAGTGGAAAAGATATGATTTTCATTGAGACTGCTGTGTTGAGAAAAAAGGGTTAAAAACTCCTGATCGTGATTGGCTGTGCTTCTTACTGCAGTTTAGAAAGAGAGAGAAACAGCTATAAAAACAATGCTATTTCAAAGGGGAAAGATTAATGTGAAAGCACTGCTTCCACAGAAGCAAAAACCATAGAGAAAAATATAGAGCTATCAATTATACTGGCCATAACTTGTCAAAAAAAGGTCCTTAAATTGCTTTCTGCAATGGGTAATCTATAGGAGGGGAAATTGTAAAGCTCTTCTCCTTTAGCTTTTTAAAAAGTTAACGAGTGAACTCAGTGTAGTTATTCCACAGTAAATGCACACTGAGTGCAGGTTTCTGTGATCGACCTCAGCCGCTCATAAACCTGCACTCAACATACAGAACCCAAAGAAGATACGGCTACAATTTCTCACTGAGGAAGACCTCTTCCTACTAAGGAAGAGCTAAACATTAAAGATAATGGTTCTCCCAGAATTATCTTCTTTTCTCACTGATTTTTTTCCAAGTACAAGTGATGACTATGTACAGAATATTGCGCTGCCAAGTTTTTTTTTAATACAGTGCCCAGCCCAGATTATTCTGGAAAATCAGCAGGAACAGCAGCAGTCAAGCAATATGAAATTGTCCTTCAATCACCAGACTGCTCTTTCCAGCTATGACCTCAAACTTTTACATCCATAATCTAATTTTCCACAACCCAATCCCTTTCTTGCTTATGTTCAGCAGCAAACAGCATACTGCAGTGATCTTCCTATTTACATGTTTTTATTTTTGCCTAAAGCACAATGATAAAAATAAATACTAGAAATGTTTGATTTTTTAGAATCTCTTTTCATTACCATTGGAATCTCTTCTCGTTATCAAATCTACCAAAGAAGCTTTTATGAAGGAAATAATTATGAAAAACACATGTGGGCTGTTTGCTCTGTTGAACCAACATGAGCTTCTTCACTGCAGTTCTGTGCATGCATGCACCATGCATATACCCCCACTCTGTGAAAACAGATGCAGCTCAAGCATATGTAGAAAGAGAGGAAAAAAGCTCATCAAAATCATTAGATGTTGATGAATATGGATATCTGTGAATTCCCAAAGAGTGGTGAAGTTGAGATTCTATTGTCAGTATATCTGAGAATGCAACAGGCAGTTATCATAAAGGACATCCTTCTCCAAGATCCCAAATTATGGTTCATTGTTCAGCTTTTGGCCTGCCATTTTCAAATGTATTGTCTTATGTCAACAGAAGCTTGTGCCCACATTGTTAGGATTAACATCCCAAAATCTGAAGACCAGTGTTTTCTCTCAAACCCAATAAATTATTGCTATGCTTAAATACAGAAGCCTGAAGTTTTTTTTAAATTGTAAAATGTGTGAGTGTACAGCAGTGTTTCTCAGCCTTGGCCACTTTAAAATGTATAGACTTTAACTCCCAGAATGCTGACTGGGGAATTCTGGGAGTTGAAGTCCACACATCTTTAAAGTTGTCAAGGTTGAGAAACACTGTATGGCTCCAAACTTGAATGACATATAAACATTTCTGGGTTTGCTCATCCTTTTTGTTTATCTCTTCTGTCTTGCAGTTTAAGCATGGACCTTCAGCTGAAATCTGGAAAGCTAAAGATAGCGGAATGCATGAATAACTAAATTGAATTATTTCAACACTTCCCACTTTTAACAACTGTTGCACTTTCTCTGACATACCTGTGGGGACTTGTGAGAGCGCCAGCTGTACTGGTGACTATGAAGACTCTCCAGCAAAACATTTTCATCAGTGTCTACCTGGCCAAACCGCAGTGTCTCCTGCGTGTCATTACAGATTACAAAATGGCTAAAGAGTAACTCTTCTGCCTCAGGGCACTGATTCTGGAAGAAAAAGAACAGAAAAACCAAACAAGCTTCAGATTAATTCCAAGATGTTTGGCAACTATCTGCCCAGCAGCGAAAGTTTCTGTACCAAAAGCCTTCTCTGTTGCAAGCTTTCCTACAAATTATTTTTTCCTCATAACAAAAATGGCAGAATCATTTATGGGTCCCAAAATTTATATCCAATAATAAAGTTCAGTTATACTGAACTGCAAACTACAGACAACAAAACAAGGGAATTACAATTTTTAAAAAAGATTTGATATACGTTATACATATGTGAACAACTCTGAAACAATGAAGTCTTCCTTTTTGCCTGAAGACAAATCTATGAATATTCAATTACTCAGAAATGCTTCTATATCTGGGGACATCAGTCTCCTCAAAATGCATACTGAACAAGGCATGTAGGTAAAAAATGAACAATGCTGCAGATCCATAAGGGTAATATTTAATGCACATCATACATTTCTGACATTTAAATTAGAAAAAATACCTAGCTGTACCTGCTATTTAACTGTTCATTGTCTGTCTTCAATCATTTGTATTTGGCCTTGCTACTGCTTTTTAAGAAATCAGGCTAGAGCAACAACTATATTGGACATCTTTCCATACAGTATGAACAACTGCCTTATTTGACAGTCTGTATAAAGTCTCAAGGGTTTATTAATCCCTATACTACATTGCGTTACAAGAATGGTTTGCAGGAAGAAGAGTAAGTGGCAATGTTACAATGAGATCTTCAAGACATTTTTCCTTTACATTTTGACCTTTATATTTTCTCACTCCATCAATTTGAAGCTAATTGCCAATTCTCTGTATCCCTTAACCAACAGGTAATATATTACACTGCCCACTTCTTCTATTGGAGCTCACAGGACCTCAACTGATTTCCTTTCTTCAGTCCCATTTTCAGTATTTCCATTCTCTTTGGTTATATTACTATGATGATTGTCAGTTTCACAGCGGGAGTATTTCTGAGTGATTTTTTTTCCTTCTTAGAATCTTCTCCCACACCAGTGGGTAAGTTCTTCCCTTGTTGTTTAGTTACTGATGGTTCTGTCAGCAAAATGCCACAGAAGTAATGGAAGCTTATAAAAGCAAGGAAGATGTCCAGATTTCTCAGCCAGCCAACTCCTTCTTGGCCATCAGATTTCTAAAGAATGCACTTTAGAAGATGTAGTTGTCAACACTTCATTTAGACCAACACAAAGAGCTACATTCTCAGGTCTTAGATGTAGAAAGTATGTAATCCATTACTTTTGAAAGTTATGCAAAATCACCCATGATGATGTATGTAGGTAAATACCTCTTCCCTGCAGGATGTTTGAACATCCCCAAGTAGAACTTGGTTTCTATAGTGACCACATGCTCCAGTGTGTATGTTCCATTTTATGTTATCTGTTAAAAAATACTGCATTCCTATATTCTCCTAACATCTCTTCTTGGCAAGATTGAGGTCTTGTATCCTTTCCACAGAGGCCAGTTATATAACCCGTGCTTATTTCCTCTCTCCTTTTAAATGTATGTGTATATACCTATCCACACTTAATCTCATTCAATTGTAGAAGTTAGAAATGGGGTTCAAGATAACTGGGGCAGAGCTAAGTTCAAGAAGATTTGATGCTACAAACTTAATGTTATATAATTTATGTTATAAATTATAAACATAATTTAATTAAAATGTTTAATAACAATTGAAGAAAGGAACACTGTCATTCCTGGTGCCATGTAAGAACATATTTTGTTTTGACATTCTTTAATGGTACATCTCTGATTACCATTAGCCACAGACATGGATTTACTTATTACCAATTTATAAAGAGGTCTTCCTTAAATAATTTTTTTAAAAAAAATCTGAAGAACTGTGTATTGGCCTATATAACATCCACTACTATTCATGCTACATAAATCTGAAGAGGGGAAGATTTTAGTGGGCCAACATTTCATTGGCAAAAGAATCCAAACTTTCAAGATTTCTATAATAATTTTCTACCATAAATGATTCCCCTCAAACACTGAAATATATCTTATTGTGTTCAAATGTAATGGGAGAACCTATCACATATATTCATATTAAATACATAAGTTACTTAAAAGAGAATTATCTGGACTGTACCTCTTATATTTCAGAACACTTTTTCCACTTTAACTGTGAAATCCTATAGAAACTCAGAAAGGTATTCCTATTAAGTTGAATAAAACTTGCTCCCAACTAAATTTTCAAAGACCTGCAAAGTTAAGACTATAAAAACAGTTGCTTACAGAAAGAAATCACTGGGTTTTTTTGGTGTTTTTTTAAAGAAACAGTTCTATCGTCTTGGGATTTGAACAGATGACCGGGGATCATATAGCACAGAGCCTGGTAATGTCTGTAATGCCTAATCTATTGTTAAACCTTCCATCATTATTTAAGAATAAAATTAGTTCACCTTTTGGGAAAAACAAATTCCAACAGAGGCTTCTGTTAATCTTGAACTCTTGACCTAAAGGTGTAAGGCCAAATTACTTTGTGCTTTGTATGTCAGCTCTTCTCCACAATGTGTACAAAAGTAGTTGTTTCTGATACTTAGTTAGAAAATATGAGGAATTCAATTAATGGTGGTGCTCTTGATTTTGCCTGGCAGAATAATGTGTTAATTGTGAACACTGAACATAAAAAAGTACTGACTAGTGGGAAGCTAATTTTCAGTATGTGGTAGAGAAGAACCCGCTGAAGAAACATGTTGTTACCAATTAACATTAATATGTAGTTCAGAGCCCACCTCAATAGCTAATGTACCCTAATGTACAACTAGGGTGAGTTTTTAATCAAGGACAGTCTAGGCTAGAGACTCACCCACCACATCAGAAGATGGTGGCAAAAACTCCCGAAATGAGAGGAAACAAGGAAATTGCAACAACAATTACAGAGGCATATCCTCTGTGGGTCATTTGAACATTGCCACCCCTGTGTATAAATCAGGTCTAACTATTCATAGAATGTACCTGACTGGAACATCTTGCTAGGCAACATATGGCTCTACTTACACAATCCTGTTGTTTCCAACTCAGAGTATTTCTTAAGGCTCCCTATAGTTCAAGTCAGTCAGTCATTTTCTGATGTGGTCTTACACATTTAAATATTTATACAATGCATTTTATTTGTACATATGTGATACTGGAGAGACTTTTTTCACTGCACAAAGCAATGGGTCTTTCTGAAGGCCATTTTGCAGTAGTTACTGCTCCACCAGCCCATGCAAACAGGCCTCCTTCAAAACTGTTTGCTTGTTTTCTGTTAAGCGCATTGCTCAAAATATGACAAAAAGCAGGAATTGGAGCTACAAAGACTCTTTTTTCACAGTGATATTTGAACCAGATGTAAAGATTTAAATCACACTAGCTCTTATTTTATGAATGTCCTTTTACAATAAGAAAATCCTGGAATGCCTTGAAAAAAGAAACTCTGATGTAAAACAGATGTTTTATCTTTTTTAGCTTTGCTATTGTAGTTTTGTGATGGGTAATTAATGCAGAAAACTTCATATAGGTACTGTATATAGATTGGTAAAGAGAAATTCTGGGGGAAGGACTGAATAGCTTGGCATAATGCAAGATTGTTTGGATAATCGCAGAAAATATTATTTGGATATATTTTTATTAATTTGACCCATTAGTTTTGTATATACAGCAAATCATGTAAGTTGTAGCAAAAACCTTCATTAAATAACAGGGAAGATATATGCCAGATATCAAATGTAACAGGGTTCTATTTTTCATTCAGTAAGATAAACAAAAAACTAGGGGAAAGTATAACTTTAAACCATGATATCATTTGGAGGGACTGGGTCAAAAATCCACAACGCTCCCTGGTTCTGCCTCCTATCTGAACTAAAAGGAAAGGGCTTATGATTATTTTTTTATGTCATACATAGGTTGGACCTTAGGAGGTTATATATATATGTGTGTGTGTGTGTGTGTGTGAGAAAAATATTTGGTATTACCATTATTCAACAAGTTACATTCCAATCTCAACTACACAGGCTTAAATCCATCCAAATTGGCCCATGAAATCATAATGTTTTTTGAAATAACTTTTAATGGCATAGTAGTAAGAATTTTAGTATAAAATACTCTTTCCTGCTATAATTTTTAATTTATAATTGCCAAAATGGGACAATAAAAGTAACAGACTACACTTGCCAGGGCTTCTGCCAAACATTCTTCAGAAGTTTTGGTGCACCTAAGACAGCTACTCTGTCAGGGCAAAACTCACTATCATAGCCTTTATGTCAATTACTCTGTGAATCAGTTTGGATACTGTATATCCTATTATCTAGATAACTGTGCTGGATCCAGAAAGCAGTTGAGTCAGGGTGTCTTCTGGATCATCCAAACATTTGAATTCAAAGAGGGAAAGAGCACTTCTGTTTTCAAGTGTTTTCCCACTGACAACCTGACCATTTCCCTGGCATCTGTTATGTCTTATGTTCACCTGGAGTCCTTCCAGAGCCACTCAGTGACCTGCATACCCTGAAAATTTGCTCTTTTGCTATGAACTCACATATCTCTTCCTTATCTTTCTTCTCCTTGAATATGTACCTTCAGATTCAGTTAGTTACTTCATGATAAGCACAAATTGCATTACAAGGTTAGATCTGAACCACCACCAAACTATGATTTTTGCTTATTCTCCAAACTGGAGTTGCAAGCCATAATCAGATCATTGCTTGGACTTCTGTTTTGGATCGCAAATGTAAAGAAAACCATAGTTTGCTGGTCTGGATATAATGGCAAAAACCATATAATCTCTGGTTTCCGCTAAATGGGAAACAAGATGCCATCCATAACTGTCATCCTTTTGGGGATAGACGATGTTATATGAAGCACAAAAAAGGCATAAGAAATACTATGCAAAAAACAGGGAAAAAAAATGAGAAAAACATTGAAAAATTCAGTTTATACAAACACCAACCACTGTAACTCTTCATATCTTTCTATCCTTGCAAACCAGTCTTGTTTCTACTGCATCTTTCCATGAATTCATACATTTCCTTTTGTTTCTTAAACTCATCTCTTTCTATTTGAGGACCTCATCAACTCCATCCAACTACAACTACTACTATTTCCTCCCAACCCTTCTTTCATATATATCTTTTACAATTCAATCCTCATTCATTTTCTCTATAGGACTTTTGTATTCAATGCACATTCAATCAGCACCCTTTCATTCATTTCCTTCCCCATAGAAGAGCAGGAAAAAACATACGAATCATGCTCATACAACACCAAATCGTTATACAGTATGTGAATAGGTTTTATGCATTCCATTTGCTTTTGTTTTACTTTCAATAAAATGCATGACACAACAAAAAGGACCTGAGGCCAGTTTGCCTTTCCTCTTTCAGTCCCTTCGCCCTATAAAGCTTTTGACACTTCTTTTTTTCTTAGGAATCCTGAGTTATGGTATCTGGTTTAACCTTTTCATTTCAGGACTATTCGCTTACCTGTTGCCAAGCCTGAAAGGTTTTATGCAGAGAGTGGATGGTATGTTGGCCAAAGCTGATGAATACAGGATCCACTACCATATTTCCATCCAAAATCTTTTCCATGAAATTGCCAGAAACAGAAAACTGCCCAAAAACACCAAATGGTTTTGCAACAGTTTGCATAGTGAGATTTCTACACTCCAAAAGTTTGCAGTCAATTTTAGTGGAGAACTGGATCTCCTTGAAGATGGTTCCATCAGTCCATTGCCTTAAATAGGTATGTGGTTCTTCAAAAGAAATTATTGAATATTCTAACTCAGATGGCACACTTTTATCAGAGATAAATGGATGTAGGAATTTTGGTGGCCCTGTAGAACAAAAGGTAAAAATAAATCATTAATACTTATTTGCAAATATAAAACTAGGAATGAACATATGCAGGAGAATAATATGTCCAGAATGACCAAGCCATATTTTTCTAGGTCAAATCAATTTATTTTAAATAAAAATTCTAAATATTATTTGATCATAATTAAGTAGTCACCAATATGAAATATAGACTGAAAAATATTGAAAATCAACATTTTCTCCACTGAAAGTTTAGTGCTAACAGCATTTCTGTTCCAAAAAGATGTGCTTGTCTCCAAGTTCTGGAATCATACAATAAATGCCTATTACTTATTTCGTTCTAAGTCACAATATAAGCATTACACATGTCTTCTTTGCAGGGCTAACTGAACTCTATTTTTCAAAAGCTCTTGGAAGTCTTTGCCCACTTGAGTGCCATTGAGATGCATGGGTTCAGTTCCCTGAATCCTAACCTGCCTGGCCATTGCTGAAAATTCTGGGAATTGGTGTCCATATTTGTGAAAGGCACCTAGGTTGGAGGGGGCTAGCTTTTGAAGTCCCAGGATAAAACCTAAAGCCACAAGACAGAGCAGCCTTACAGTACATGAGAAGGGCAGCTGTATAAATGTGATATATATAATATATATATAAACAAGCAAGCAAGCAAGCTGACCTTTGGTCAGAGTTTGGATGGAAGATTGCTCTTTCATATGCCTCTTTAGAGGTATGATATGAATAAGTAAAATATGTTGGGTGTTGTGCAAAAGTTAATAAGATAAAGCCCTCTATTAAATGGTATTAGGAATGTAGAGGTGGGCTCCAAAGCCCAGACAGAAGGTCTCAGCATCGCCCTCCAGCCACATGGCCAGTAGCTGGTATACTCCAAACCTCTGGAAAGTGCTAACTTGCCTGCCCCTACAGTGTATTAGCCAGGACATACAAACTGCTATTGCAAAGATGATATTGATGACAACAGCAATGTCAATAAAAAAAAAGAAATAATAAACAATCAGTAGAGCTACTCAAGAGCTAAACAGCAAAAATCCATACTTCAAATCGGAACAGGAAAAAAAATAGAAATCAAAATTGGCGATCAAATTAGGAGAACACAGAGGATACTTATTCAGGACTGTATGTTCAGATATAGTGTTGATGTGTAAGTTAAAATAAATGTAATTACTGATGGGGGTAGAGATCAGCATCTGGTGAACACATATGGGAAATGTAAAATAAGACCGTTTAAAATATACTCAATTATCAAAAGGGTAAAGAAAAGTATAAAAAACCAAAGCTATCATAAGCATACATGGAATCATACTGCAGATGTTTTTTTAAAGGAAATGGGAACCAAAATTACAGAACACATTATTTTGAATTTGCAGAAAATAATTATCCTAGAAAGCAATATTATTTAACATAGTCAATCTGCAATAGCCACAGTTGTGTATATTTAATTGTTCCACTGTGAATAAGTTAATAAAGAAAACAGTAATTAAGGCCAGTTTAATTTTAAAAAAGTTCTAAAAAAGAAAAATGCATCTTCTGAAGGATCTCTGCCTGGTTCAAGCTTCTTTTGTTTCTTTCACTGTCATCTGAAATGCTAAAAATGTTAACTAGTAATGGGGAAACCTGAAGAAGGTAAGTCACTCACCACTTTCAAAACTATCATTTATGCAAAATGTCCTGCTTTAGAAATTGCTTAAATATCTGCTCATTTCTCCTGGAGAATATTACTTGATAATATTACTAGATAATATTACTAGAATTAGACAGTCTAACAAAGTGTACTGGAAATAAAACTGACAATAATGAAAGCACATAGTACTGAACCAACACAGATGGATCACATCCCCACTCCCAATTTCTTTTAAAATAATACTCTGAGTTTCTAGCACTTGGTACTTTCTTTGGCATCTCTTTGTTGAAGAGGACATATAAAGCAGAGCAAGTATGCTGGCAAATGTGAAAAGCAAAATTTATTCCATCAGGCTCACAATAAAGTGAAGGAGGGTATTTGGGCCCATTACTGAGGCTTAGAAAATGCAGCACCTTCTGCAATTACCGCATTCAAATACATCTGTTTTTTACACATTCCTGCTACCGATAAGGAGGTGTAAGCTATCTGAGCATATGGTCCAGGGGACAAAAGAACTGCAAATGTAAAGCAGGTGGGGTGATGAGTAGGTGGAAAACCAACAGTTACAGCTTTCTGTTTCAGAGTTTAAGATACATACCTGTGCCCAGCTGATCCAGATGGTGGCAAAGATGAAGTTCCACATGAGCAAACTGAACTGAGACCCCAAGGGCAGGCACAAACCAAGGGGTAAAGCATGAGTCCACCCTAGTACAGGCTGCTAGGGCAGTAGGAGTGACAAACTGATCGGATGTACTCTGAGAACCGGATTCACTTTCTGAACTGGGATGGGGGAGTGAGGGAAGGCAAAAAGAATGTTTCAATATACTGAATTAAATTGTTTTCTAAAATAGCAGCATGTCTGAGGATCAGAATTTCAGAAATCCAGTCATTATTAAAGACTTTTTAATAAGTATTTGGAACAATAATTTCAATAACAGCATTATAATAAGAATATATTATGTTCCATTTAAGTTCAATAAACTTTTCTTAGACAATATTCTTCCCCTTCAAACTTGTGCCTGAATCATTTTCTACTGCATAGTCATCTATTTTAAAAAAGTGGGGACATGTTAATTTTAAGACAGAAATCTAAAGCTGAAGAATTGCCATTAGCATACCATCTCACTGCATTGCCTCTCAGTAATAATTTGGGCTGCCATGAACGGTTTTCAAAATGTGTTCAGCAATCATGTTTAAATATCCACAAATCTCTAGGCCTACAATCTATATCTATAGATAGAGGGCTTCGTTTTTAAATAGACTTGTATACCAAACCACTGAAAATACTATACAGGCTAACACTATGTCTGTCTGTCTGTCTATCTCACAATAGTTACCTGTATTTTCCTTATGTGAATAAGGGTGCATGTATGTATGTGTGTAAGCTTGCTGTGTATGTGTGTGTGTGCACATGCACGCACCCAAACATGCTCACACACATATATTTAATAGAAAGCAAAGGTTATTTTGTTTATCTACAAGGACGAGATCATGCAAACACTACCACCATCCAAGGACAATTGTTAAAAAAAATGACAGAGAAGATGCAAAATTATCAAAGATTTGCTTTGGGAGAAGACTTCAGAGTGAAGTCATATGTGTGCTCCAACTTTAGCTGTCAAGTTTCCTATGATATCAAATTTGCAATCAGTTGTTGACTGTGAGAAGTGATTAATTATTGTGTAGCTACATTTTAAACCTACTTGCACTAGAGTGGGGGAAGTTATCCAGCAAGGCAATTGTTAACGTTCTTTAAAAGGAGCAAAACTTCATCATGTGAAAGAACAGAAGTTTTAAAATTAAAACTAGCCATTAGATGGCAGAACCAATTTAAATATTAAATAGATTGATGAGTAACAGCAAGCAACAGAATAAGGAAGGTATCAGCCTAATATAATGGGAAGAAAATTAGGGAGAATACTTCATTTTGGAGAAATTCAAACTGTAGCATTAGCTGAAGAGCTAACATGGTAAATCTGGTAAAAATCAATTAATATGGCTAAGCTGAAACACTGGTCATTTGGAAGGTAGAAATTTCACACATCACATGCACATACAATGTTGTAAGTCCTTTTTCTAGGTAAAAAAATAAATTTCCAGCCCTACATGTCTTGAAATCACAGTGGGCCTTATATTCCAACAAAAATTCCCTTTTTCTCCATCTCATGCTTTTTAAGGCAGACTTTTTTCAAATCTCTAGTTTCTTTCCTCCACTCTGAGTTGTTGGTTTTTTTCCCTCCATATTGGACGTTACATTGGATTCCTTTCAACTTATATCAATACTGATTTTTTTGGAATAAAATTGTATTGGCATGCCAGAGAACTCCACATTATGCATATCTGCAATTTCTTAGCATGGGCAAGTATTATTATATTATTATTTGACCAGCAGAAATAATCATATATGCATATATTTCCTTTCTCTCTCTCTCTAGCATTTAATGGAACCACAGTGTAATTTAGGGAAAGTCTGACATGCAGAACAGTTAAGCTTGCCTAAAACATTTAACTTTACTATGATTAAAATGCATTCCTTTGCAACTAACACCAAGAAATCATTTAATATGATCAACTGATGGTATGAGCTTCACGAAAGCAAATCAATAAAAAAAATTGGCTTCCGTTAATCATATCAGGTCAATTGATATAAATATTATTCATTTTCCTGTGTCTAAAATCTCCTGCATTATAAAAAAACCTTATCTTCTATTTCTCTCCTATTTCATCAACTGCTGTAGATGCTTTCAAGCAAATCAAGAAGATACATACTAATTTTTTTTTTTATGGTACCTGTGCATGTAGTATATTTCTGATGCTCCTGAGTTCAGTTTGAATACCAATAAGGTATAATTCTTAAAGTGTTGGACTAGAGTCAAGAAAGAAAGGATTCAAATCTCATTTAGTCATGAAGCCTACAGATGAACCCAGATGATCCTAAGTCAATTATGATCTCTTTGGTTGAATTAACTTCACCAGATTGCTGTGAGGACGCAATGTATCAGAAACACATTCCTCACGTTGAACACAAACTTAAATTTATAAACATTCACTTTATTTTATTTTATTATTTGAATTGGATATACTGTGGTTAATCTTGATAATTTCTTTGAAATATGCTAACTTTCTTCCCAAGGTGCGGGGTGCCCCCACTCTCATGGGCTTTAGGAAAGGTGTGAAATCCTGGCTATGCCAGAAGGCTTGGGGGCCAGATGGGGGCTCGCATCAGTGGAAGTGGCTTGTGGGGTAACTGATTTTACCACTCTCCCCCCGGTCATCTTGAATGTCTTTAGTATTTATGTATAGGGTTTGTTTTTAGTGGATTTTAATGGATTGAGTATTTAATTATTTATGGGGTATTTTAATTGTTTATAGGTTTTTGATTTTTAATTGTGAGCCGCCCAGAGCCACCCATTGGAGGAGATGGGTGGCATACAAATTTAATAATAAAACAAACAAACAAACAAACAAACAAACTAGATACAATGGGCTACGTACCTGGCTTATCTCAACAAAACACAGTTAAATATAACTGTAGCTTAGGATTCAGATGTAACACTGTGATTTACTAAAAAAAGAAGCTTCCAATGTCTGTGATCATGCCAGAGAAAGACAGGAGGGGACTACATGGACCCAAGATTTGCCTAGAATTCTTTATATCATGACCAGCTATACCCAGTGAAAGGCTTGGATCATACATATATTAGCATTTTTCCAGACCTGCAAATTTAGACCTCTGTAATGTGGTGTTTCAGTCATCTATCTAAGCAAGATTTCTTGCAGTAAACAATAAATAGTTTGAAGAGTCATGTGTTCTCGTCTGTTTCAGTGTCCTAGCTTGGTGGTTCAAAAATAGCATGATCTGTCTCTATAAAATAAAACACTGTTTCATAATCAACATTGTATTTACCTTTGGTCATCCCCTGAATTCTGGTTGCTGTTCAAAACAATTCTCCAAAGATCTGAAGCTACAAGTTCTTTTGGGTCAGTTATTAGGTTGATGCTTGGCAGGGACAGCTCACAAACTTTGCTTTCCGATAAGCTGAATTCTCTGAAAGCAACAAATGACTTCTGGAGCTCATCCCAGTATTCCAAGCTGCAGGGGATCTGTAACAGTTGCAAACAAATCTTAGTTGCCTGGCATTTCTTGACAAATTCAAAAACATTTATCTGCAGTGTGATTTACAGTTCCTCTATCTATCTGTCTCTCTGTCTGACTGTCCATTCATCCATAAATACACACACACACACACAGTCTGTCTGCCTGCGTATCTATCCACCCACCCACAGATTAATACACATTGTCTGCCTGTCTGTATGTCTATCTATCTATTGGCACACACACACACACACGCAGAGTCCGTCCATCCGTCCATCCATCCATCCTACTGAAATCCCAAAGGACCCTTGGCAGTTCATAAAGATAAAAGACACAATTATGATTACACTATCCCAAATCAGATTAAAATTGAAATATAAGTTTCAGAATATATAAACACAAGCCCCAGCTATAAACCTCAGCCAAGGTGACATCACAACCTAAATGTCCTCTGGAAGAACTTGATTTTGAGCTGTTTCTGGAAAGCAATTAAGATGGAAGTCAACCTCATCTCCATTAGGAGACCATTCCAAAGGACCGATGCTGCCATCAAGAAGCAGCACTTTGTCAGTCATCTTCTTAATATATTATTTTAAAGGTTTCATATTAATACAGTTGACACTGATATTTATCTCACTGGGATTAGGGAATATTTCTACCATACAAAGGGAATATTAACTACCATACAATGTGTATACATTTCTCTAAATTATGCAAAGCAAAATGCAAGCAGATATCCCATCATCATCATCATCATCATCATCATCATCGAATTCTGTGCTTGCATTAACAATATATTTCCCTAGATTTTGATTAAATAAGTGGTTTTTTTAAACACCAGTTTCACATATAGCAAAGCTGGAGACAGAAAGCAGTATTTCCCAGGGCACATCTGTAATAGATCAGGAACTATTATAGAGAACAATTATCTTCTTGGAACCTTTTCATGCAGGGTGTGACTCAGTTCAGGATAGGATATCCACCCCATCTTAGTCATAAGAGAAACCAACCATCAAAAAATTGTTCTTATCTACACCAGCTTGTTAACCCTTAATCCACCAATTCCTCTACATAGGTAGCAGATCTGAACGTCATTGCTGGTCCTGAAATTTCTGATAAAGAGAAATAATGTGTGATCCACACCAAGTTCTAAAACTTTTTTTTTTTTTTTTTTACTTAACAGCTTTTTATAGAAATGTAAAAAGAGAGGCAATAAAGCATAGCATGAAATCCCAGAGTATGACTTCATTAATGAAAGCAGTTTCCACTGATAACACTGGGTGAAGGGACAGGTTTTCTTTTGCCTCCAGTTTTATATGATCCTCTAATCTGGTGTTTCTCAACCTGGGCAGCTTTCAGACGTGCGCACTCCAACTCCCAGAATTCCCCAGCCAGCATGGAGTGCGCATGTCTGAAAGCTGCCCAGGTTGAGAAACACTGCTCTAATCTGATGTAGAATATCTCCTAATTTGGGATCTCACCCCAGCTCTGATTAGTCCCATGTAACTGATTTCCTGAAAGAAACAAGTATTATTACTTTCTGTGAATCCAGCAATAAGTAGCATACAAAGCAGCTGAATGTAGTTTTCTGAATTTCCACTATGGCCTGCCAGAAGAATTTAACCGATAAATATACCATAATGACAATCCGAGGGAGCACAGCCCCTAACTGCACACAACATACCTAAGAGTACATCATTAAATCTTCACTTTCCAACTCTAAGAATCCCCAGACACTCGTCAGAGCTGATGTAGTACCAGTTAGATGATTACTGGCAACAGTGGAATTCATCTGCTTAGTGGAGTAGGGGGTGAGCCTGGATCTCTTTCCCCAGTTGTCCTACTTGCTGTCCTTCCAAGTCTATGTGCCCCGATAGGATTAATGTATGGCATAAGTGATTTAAGTGATTTCATTTTTAGGCAATGCCATGATTTGGAACAACCTCTTAATCTCTTAAAGCCATTTTATTACACACTAGGAACTGGCCATATAATCATTGGCAAGTTTGAGTTAACTGTTTAAAGACACTTAAAAAAAAAAAAAGCATTGGCTATTAAAAAGCTAAACAGCAAAAGAAAGCAGGATTTTTAGTATATAATCCTTCATTTTAATATATGCAATACTGAAAAGCCCATTTATATCAGTAAATACAAAGAATACATGGAAAATTGAATTCATGTTACAAAATAAATATGATATGTTCATAATTGAGTAACTGCTTACAGAATGCTAGGTCTTGGGAAGCAAAAACCAAAAAAGCACACAAATGCCTAGGAAGGAAGGAAGTCTCACTGAAATGTACAGGTTTATAGCAGCAGAGATCTTTATGAATTGAATTTGAGAATTTAAACTGATTTAAATTATATATTTCTATGGATACCACATTATTTGTTCTTCTGGGTGGATAGGTTATGACTAGTGGCTCAGCTTGATAATTTTAAAGGAAGATGAATGCTTTATGCAGTAGCAGCTGCCAAAAATAATAAGTCTAAAACTTGGATATCAAGTATATTGTACAAAATGACTCATGGGCAGGGGAAGTGAGGATATTAGATGCTGTCGAGAGTCCCATAAGAAAAATAAAATTGTATTCCTTTTGTCTTGAAAAATAAGATTAATATTCTCCCTACATGTCAAATAATACTTATTCTAGAGATATTGCTGCTATCGTTACTGCAATAAGAAACTTGCATCAATGTTGTTAAAACATGCATTTTCATAAGAAGCCATAACATAGCATCTCTCTTCATTTTGTACATCATGAAATCTTCCAAGAGTGGCACAAGCTGAAAGGCAACAGTGATAAACATTTGGACTTTATCTCAAGCAAGCCAAATAGCCACCCCGGAGCATCAAATCAGGTTTCTCCAATTCTGAGTCACTTTCCAACCAGGAAACCCACATGGCAAAACCTTGATTTGACCCAATGCAGGGTTCTGGTTGGAAAACTAAGTTGTGAAGCGTTTTCATCTCTTAAAGGATCATAATGTTCAGAATAACATTTGACTATTGCAATAATTTTTAATGGTCTGCTTTAAAAAAAAATCATATAATTCCAGCTCTCCCTGAAGTTTCTGCTTACTGTTCAAGATGCACCTTCTTTATCAGAGCCTATGTTACTGTTATTACTGTTGTCCATTCATTCTCTTCACCTACACAATCAGCATAGTCATTTGATATAAAGATGACCCAGGATTCCTCTTGGTTTGTCATGATTTTTTCTATTATTTCCACCCAACTCTAGCTTCTAACATTCATTTCTAAGCTGGAATCCTCACTTTTTTCTTTACCCCATTTCCTTCCTGGCTACTCAAAGATACACAATTTACTATTCCTGATAAAGCATCCACTGAACCCAAAGTCTAGTCTTTGCGTTGTATAAATCTGCCAATTCTTAATGCATCCCTTTTAGTGTTGTTTGGAATGTCTCTAGCTGCCAAGCAAGAAGCCCATAACTGGTGAGATACAGTTTCTTAAAGTTTTTGCAATGGGCACTGTTAGGAAACTTTAAATGAAGAGCAATTTCTGGACTGCAAGAGCTGCTATGCAATGGAACAGCCTGCCTCCTGAAGTCATGGGTGCTCCATCACTGGAGATTTTCAAGAAAAGATTGGACAGCCACTTGTCTGAATGGTTTGAAGACAGTTGCACTGAGCAGGAAGTTAGACCAGATGCCCCTGTGATTCTATGATGTACATTTTATAAGTAAAATAATAAATAGTAGATATTTTCCCAATTTGTTTTTAACAAATGTTTGGGGTTCCTTGTCCTTAACAAATTAGCATCCAGTTCTCTCCTTCAGGTCCTTGACAGTCCAATATCTGGAGGCATATCTTTGGTTCTTTTTTCTTGAAAATGCTTATATAATCCTACAGCATTTGGCCTTCTGTACATTTTGGCTCTAAAGATGACATTCTAGAGGACAACCTGAATGAAACTTACAATTTTAATTCCTTATAGACAATTGGAATTTTGTTTCTTCTTCATTTATTTCTCTTCTTGTCCCTTTCAAGGTCTGTTAATTGTTTCACATGTCCTACCACTTCACTTTTCACCAGCAATAGAGTTTTCCTTGATCTGCACAGCTGCCAAACCTTGACATTTACTGTTATGCTGTCACTGCAATTTTTTATTTTTCAGGTAATGTATTCAGAATAAAAATGTGCTAGCAGGTAACTGTATTAATAAGTTGCTTTCTCTTTTGTACTCTGAGTAATAAACTATCTACCTTTTTGAAGATGAATATTTTAAAACTTTTCCTTGGAAGTTTTTTTTTTCTTTGAATCTGTTTCCTCATGATTGCATTCTCTGAACATCACAAGTTCAACAAAATATAGGTAACCATACAAGGCAAAGCAGAATATATTTCAGACAGTAATTAATCTGTGAATGAAGAGGTGCTGGGTCCATGATTGCATGGAAATTAGTCCTTTAATTTGAAAGTTTTATTCTGTAATATTTAATATGTATGTTTGGAGAGAGAAAGAGAAAGAGAATCCTGTACTTAATATGTGAAAAATTCTCTTTCTAGGTCCTGATGCTAAGTAGCTGGAAAAATGTTGGAATCCAGTATAGGAACTACATGTAAAGCTTGGCACTACCATGGGTTACTTTACTCTGGTTATAAAGTGAATCCATCCAATAGATGACATGGTTTAATCTTGCAAACTAGAGATATTTTGAATATAAGCTGTGCACAGAACTACCCTGCTCAATGGCTGGTCATTTCAATACTTGATAATGGTATTTCAATTTACCTTGACATTGAGACACAGCCTCGGTTAATTTTCAGAAGCCTTGAATAACTTCTCTATCTACTAGTGGGGGAACATGAATCAAGGTCTGTAAACTTTTTACATTTTTATAAATTTACGAGAAAGAGATGCAGCAGACAGATGCAGAGGATTTTTATGGAAAGGGAGTTTATCAACTTTTAAGTTTCTGGTAATTTAATAAATCTGTTATTAAGAGTATTGTGTAACTTTTTTACAAACACAACTTTTGAGA